CGCCTTCCCGGGCTTGCTGCGGTTCCCTCACTCGTGGAGGAATGACGCCGTCCCGGGTTAGCTGCCGCCCCCCCACCCCCCCGCCTCTGCGGAGGGGCGGCACCCCCGCTGCTTTCCCCGCTTCTGTGGAGGAGCAGCACACCGCCCGCCGGCTCTCTCCGGCTGCTCAGATGTTCCTCAGATGTTCCTCAGATGTTCCCCGGTGCGTATTGTCTCTCTCCTCCTTTATAGTCCTCTTCCACCAATCCATGCTCTGCTGCCCACACGCCGAGCACACTGCTCTCCTCCAATCAGGAGCAGGATCAGCTGCTGCAGCTTATCAGTCGAATTGGCAAGGCAGCTGCGTAGAATTTGTTTGCTCTCTCTCAGCGCCATATTGTGGGAGATCAGATGCATAGTGTTAGTTTTAGCAGTTCCAGTAATTTAGTCTAGTCTCAGTTGCTCCCCACAAGAGATTTCTAGAAACTGTTAGAGAGGTAATAGATAATCACTCTACTAATGGATAACAGGCAGCCCTCACTTTGGTTTCCTGAATATGATAGGATTGACAAAATAAATACAAAATATGAGAGACTGTTTTGGGGACCCCAATCCAGACACCTACAAAAAGAGAATAAAAACCAGTAAGAAAATGAAGTGTTTTGTAGATGTCAGGTGAGGACTGTACAGTCAGCAAACCTGAGCAGGGCAGGTATTTTTTCGCTGAGGGGAAAATAAATGGTGTGTCCATCATCTTCTGAAGACTTGGGCCATTGTCCAGTTGCTCTGCATTGACACTGGAGATGTGCTGAGTGACAGCTCCTGAAGCCCCTCAGGCCTCGTTTTCTGGCCTCTCCTGGGGCTTGGAGCTCTTACGTTCCTCTTCTGAGACATCACAGAGCACAGTGCGTTTTTGTTAGTTTTTAACTCACGCGTTCTGAGCAACAGCAAAGTTCAGGGGACTGATGGAAGGGAGACGGTAATTTTCTGGAAAGAATGACTTGAGTTGCAGCAGCCCAGGTGCTGGGCAGTTGGGAGACTGCAGTGTGAAGCCAGCTTCTTCACACGGGTGTGCTATTACAGCGAGAACTCACGGCTTCTTTCTTGGTTCTCAGACGTCTTATCGGAAGAGCTGGGGATCGCAACCTGTCTGTCTGGCTGCCTCCCTCACATGCTGCCGCCCAAATGCCCAAACACCTGCCTAGCAGACAAGTACAGACTGATCACCGGAGCCTGCAACAACAGGTACGGCTTGTGACCTTCCCTCGCCTCCTCACGGAGGCTGGATTTGACAGGCTTGGATGCCACCAGGAAGGGGGATCTGGGGAATACTTGTGAGTGTCCCCCCATGCAACCCTGGGCTCCTGACCCCTCCTTCCTCTGGCCAGCTGACTTCGCCACCTGCACCCTGGAGTTCACCTCCAACATGCCCTATGCCCAGCATGGAGTCTGCACACATCCATGGTGGTGACAGTAATCAGTGCTGTTCAGTCACTTGGAGCCTGCTCTGTATCCCCGAGGGAGTCTGCCTCAGCACACGCTGGCCATTGCTGAGACAGTCGCAGAGTCAGGTGGTCATCACACCCCAGGCCGCCAACTTGCCCTTCAGAGCTGTGTGAGCTACAGCATGCCTGCCCCCACCGGCTGCTGAGTGACATCACCAGACATGGAGCCCCTCTCTGGTGAACGTCCTTCAGGTGACCCTAGATCGGGGTCCTACAGCTGCCCCCCCTCTGGCCATAGCCCCTCATGTGGCCTCTGGATGGTCTCCTGCATGAGTGTTGTCCCTCTCCTGCAACCCGTCCATGCCCTGGTGTGGCCCTGCCTCCTGTGCCTTGGTGGACCCTGGTACCCTGAGCTGGCCTCCCAGGTGTGCCCTGGCTGTGACCAACACTCTCCAGGGCTCTTTCGCACCTGAGTCCCAGCCTTGCCACCCTGGGCTCAGCTTCTGTGGCTTCCCCTGGGTCCTGTCTGACCCCAGGAGATACCTGGCCCCTGTGGAGAGTCCTCCTCCTGCAATGGCTCTGGCTGTCCTGCCTGGCTTCGGTGGCTTTGATTCTAGTTTCCATGTTGCTGGTGAAATCCCCAGCCGGCCACCTCATGCTGCGAGCCCCCGCGACAGTCTTGGGGCGCTGCTGTGGCTGTGTGCATGGTGTGGGCCCAGACAGTGCAGGCTCAGGTATGAGTTAAGTCTCGGCACGACTTACAGGGTTTGCTGCAGCTTCCGTTCAGCATCTCCAGCCTCATCTTACTTAATGCTTGCTGTATTTGGGAACTGCTCATGGAGTCAGACATTTCATCCTGAAACATCTTTATTTTTATTTTGAAAATGTATTTTTCTGTTGAATCAGTCTCATCATTGCTGGTGTAGATGATGATTTTTATCAGTCATGAAGGGCATGTTGCTCATCTACAGTAAGCGAGGATCTTTGTTTGAGACTCTTAATGGTCAAAATTCTTTATGGACTGTGGCCGCCATGTCATGTTCTCTATTCTTTTTTAAAAGATTTATATATTTATTTATTTGAAAAGTGGAGTTACAGAGAAGCAGGCAGAGACAAAGGTCTTCCATCTGCTGGTTCATTCTCCAAATGGCTGCAACTCTAAGTCTCCCACGTGGGTGCAGGACCCCAACCACTTGGGCCATCTTTTACTGCTTTTCCCAGGCCACAGCAGAGAGCTGGTTCAGAAGTGGAGCATCTGGGACTTGAACTGATGCCCATATGGGATGCTGGCACTGCAGACAGCAGCCCTACCTGCTATGCCACAGCGCTGGCCCCCCTGATATCGGAAATGACCCTCTAAAATATATATGAAAATGTGGCCCCTTAAAGTTCCCCAGAAGTGCCATCTGGGATGCCACACATGTTACTGGGATTTGGGGTGCCATACGACATCACCATATGCTTATTAATAAGTCCCCAGTATTGATAAGATCCAGAGCATTCTTGCCTAAGATTTAGAGAAGAATTCTAAATACCGGCACAGATAAACGAGGCAGCATGATGCATTTTAAGCTTTTATTTAGTGAGAAAGATGCAGAGGAGAGTGAGAGCTTTATCTAAGAGGAGTAAATCTGGGTTCATACCGAGCACCAGCAACCAGCCACGTGGAGGAGCATCTAGGCCAGGAAGCCTAGGGCAGGTGGCCCGAAGGCCACGTGTCCTGGGGGTGCAGGGCTACAGCCAGCCCCCTCCTGGCTAGAGGCCAGGGAAAAGAAGAGGGAGCACAGACACACTGTGTCCCAGCTTTTAACCCACTTCCATAGGGGAGTGGTTAATTACCCTGATTGGCCACATGTAGTGGAATGAGAAGGTGAGCAGGTCATGCCAAGATGGCCGCTGACAACAGAAACTGCCTGGCAATAGGCCGCGATTGGACGGCTTCAGAAACCACATGACAACAGAGCCTGACTGACGGCAGGCCGTGATTGGATGGTTTCAGAAACTGACTGGCAACAGGCTGTGATTGGTTAGGGCATAGACTGCCCCTTGACTGGATTGGCTGCCTTGGCTATATGAGCAGCTGTAGCAACTGAAATAAATGATTCTGCAGGCTGCTCCTCAGGCACCGCTTTTCACCCCGACTCCGGGGGTCTGTGTGGTGACTTTGCGCCTCTTGCCACCTCCACCCCCCCCCACCTCCTCCTCTGAGAAATGAATCCACAGGTGGGCACTCAAGTGTGGCCAGATAGGGGAATGAGGTCACACAGGGGCATGGTGAAGGTATCAGGGCGTGAGGTCACACAGGGGCGTAACGAAGCCTTGGTCTTCCAGCTCACAACCTAATCGATTTTAAACCTCTATGCCTGTCTACTTCACCCCTGTTTAATTCTAAAACATCACCAGTGTTTCTTTTCTCTTTTGGGCTAGTTTCACACATTGTGCTTCTAGAATCTAACTTGCAATATGTAGTGGGTTTTTATTGCTTTCTTTTTCTCTCTTAAAAGTCATTTCTGGCTGGCACCGTGGCTCACTAGGCTAATCTTCTGTCTGTGGCACTGGCACTCCAGGTTCTAGTCCCAGTCAGGGTGCCAGATTCTGTCCCAGTTGCTCCTCTTCCAGTCCAGCTCTCTGCTGTGGCCCGGGAGTGCAGTGGAGGATGGCCCAAGTACTTGGGCCCTGCACCCCATGGGAGACCAGGAGGAAGCACCTGGCTCCTGGCTTCGGATCGGCACAGTGCGCCGGCCATAGCGGCCATTTGGTGGGGGGAAACAAAGGAAGGAAGACCTTTCTCTCTGTCTCTTTCTCTAACTCTGCCTGTCCAAAAAAAAAAAAAAAAAAAAGTCATTTCCTTGCTGCTGCTGCCGCTGCTGTGGCAGAGCAATGTTAGATTTCGGATATTTGGGTGTTGACTATGAGCACATTTGAAGCCAAATGGTATTTGGATTAACTTTTAAAAAGCTCTGTATTAGTGGTAGATTTTCAATGTATTTTTATTTTTAATTGACGCATTATAATTGTGCTTATTTGTGGGGTGCCTGTGGCATTTCAGAACATCTACGCAATGTTTGATGACCGGGTCAGGGTGATTGGCACACCCACCACCTCCAACACCTATCAGTTCCTTGTGTTGGGAACATCTGAATCGTCTCTACTGGCTATATTGAAGCAGCTAACTGCTGTCGACCATGGCTACCCTGCTGTGCTGTGGACACTGGAAGTTCCTCCTCCTGTCCAGCTGCACCCCATACCTATTAATCATCATCCCCTCACACCCTTTCCAGCCTCTGGTGACCACTCTTCTTTTCAGTTGGTTCAGCTTTTCAGCTTCTCATGGGTCTTAAAGTCCTCTCTCTCTTTGGAAGCTGGGTCTTCCCAGGGTCCAAATGTTTTCTCTCTGGAAGCTGGATCTTCACAAGATCTGAATGTCCTCTCCCTCTGGGTACCAGAACATCACATGGTCCACTGTTGCCCGGGAGCCGGGAGCTGGCACTGCACGTAAACCATGGCACCTTAGAGCCCCAGTGGGAGCAAACACATCTGTTTCTCTCCCAAACTGCCCTCCAGGAATGCTTCCAGTGCTGCCGTTAATCCATATCTGATAAATGTGGTGCCATGATTGGCTCCGGGAGACGCAGCTGATCCGAGTCTAGAAGTGAGAGGAGAGCCAGGCAGGGGTCAGCCAAGCCCACCCTGATGGCCCTGACGTGCCGGGAGCCTGATGCCCACATAATCCAGTCTTAAAGAACAAGCTTTTTTCTACCAGAAAATTCTCAGGTTTTTGTCCTTTGAGCTCATAATTTTATTCGTTGCTTTTTTCCAAATGTAGGATGTTTATGCTTAAAAGTCTTTTTTTTTCTTTTGCATATCCCTTTGCTTTTACATAACTGTGCAGATATGTAAGATTTAAATTATTCACTTATTTTATACATTCATATAATTACATCATATGTTTGTATATATATTTGTATATTTATACATTTTTAATGTGTATATTTTAGAAATTGCAATTTTATATTCAGAAAATATTCAGTGAGCACAAGAAGGTAAAAATATTAGCTGTTTCTTCAATATTAGATAATTTATGATTGTTATTAAGACAAAACACAAGAAATCAGCCCAGACATATATTACAGATGTTGATGGGTAATTGGCACAGAGGTAGATTTCTGATGGAATTACTGACAGGACAGACAGAAGCATGGTTAGTTCTCCTGCCGCTTGGGCGAACGTCCCCCACTGGCTGATGGAGCAGGCACTGCGGTGAGCTGGCAGCCTGTTTGCGCCTGCCGTATCGTTGCACTGGTGCACAGTGGGTAGTGCCCCTTCACTCCGTGAAGCACTCCACTGTGGATAGTGAGTCATGATTGCCAGACTCGGTGCAGAAGGAGACGAGGCAATACCTGCATGGTTCTTCTTTGCCTCTACAGATGAGAGGTGTAACGTGTGTTTGGAGACAGGTTTGTTACAGTGGTGGAACCTGGTCCTCAAAACTCTTTCTGAGGTATATAAGAAAATTAACATGCAGCAAGCTATCATTAACATGACTTTTATTGATTTATCAGCAATCAGGTTTCTCAGTTTCTGGAAAATTATCCAAGACATATCAAGTTAATCATACCTGTTCCTTTCTATTACAGGGACCTTACTTAACAGAATATACTCAGAAGTAGTTTGTAAACTGAAGCGTACCTTTGTCTTATCATGCACTTTAGATATACTTTGGTCAAAATAGATTTTGATCGACAGAATTAAACTGCAGACCATTCTACTTAAGAAAATATTCCCATCTAAATCCATTCTCACTGCCAAATCAATCTCAGAAAAGCACAATGTATTAAAAACCTTATTTTTAATTCACATAAATGTATTAACACCTGTTCCCGTGACAACCATCTCACTTCTGAATTTAGACGCTGCAGCAAGTTTCCAAGCAGCCCATTTCCAGCAGAAATTCTGTCTTGCAAACACAGGACCAGAAAAGACGAGATGTAGGGGGCTTTATGAAGCTTTGCTAAAGCATGTTTAATTACCGTGATTTTTTAAAATGTCTCCTCGTTCGGAGCCCAGACGTTTCCATCCTGCAGGGAAAATATCCCATGGTGATTCTAGGAGGGAGGGAGGCTCACTTTGGGAAAGCGAAGTCGAGGAAGTGCTTCAGGAGGGAAGGCGGGAAAGGGACACTGCCTGGCGGGACTCCTGTAGACAGGTGTGTTTAGGCTTAGGGAAGAGCAGTGGCCTGAAGCATGGGAAAGCGATTCCCTGCAGGCCAGCCATACCCTTGGACCCAGGAGAGCCTGCAGACCCACCAGACAGCTGGCCCAGCTGGGCACCTCCTTAAGCCTAGAGTCCCAGGGATGCTACCCCTTTTCTGTCCTTGCGAATGGTGTCGTATTTGGGACTTGATGCTTGCTTTCTCAAACACGTGCACATTTGTTTCCCAGAGACCATCCCAGATGGGGTGCCTCCAACACTGCACTGGCCAGATGGCTCCCTCCTGTCTATGAAGACGGCTTCAGTCAGCCCAGGGGCTGGAACCCCGGCTTCCTACACCATGGCTTTCCACTGCCTGCGGTTGGTACCTCCGGACGCTACTTAAACTGGGTCGGGATTGGTTTCCCAACATAGCTGTGGAGGAAACTAACCTTTATCTGTGCTCTTGCTCCCTGTGCTGGCGCTGCCTTACACTGAGATAATTCCTCGTGGCCCCCAACCTCTCTGAGGTCACTGTCCTTGCTAGGAAGCCAAGGAGCCAAGGCTCCATGCGATCTGCAAGCCACGCAGAACAGGGACAGCGTTCCTGGTAAGGTCTGCCCAGCGCTGTTCCCTCGGCCCTCACAGTCACTGCGGTGTTTGCAGACAAATCCCTTTGCTGCTCAGGTAGACGCTGAGGTGCACTGAAAGACACGCATTCATTAATCCACTCCTGTATACAAAGGTGATTATCACTGCTCCCAGAGCTCAATGCGTTTGTTAAATGAACTCACAACTAACCTACTGGTCAGTCTGGTGAAACAAGGGGTCATTTAACCGAGGTGATCACCCCCTGCAGTGAACGAGTGTGCGTCCTTGTCCAGTGTTCGGTATGGGATGCTCAGTTCAGCCCAGAGGACTCGGTGTCAGGAGTGAGGTCTAACACAGGCCGGCACGGACTGGTACAGCATCACAAGGCTCCCCTGAGAGGCGAGCAGCTGTCCCTGGGCAGCTGTGCCAGGTGATGCTGGAGTGAGAGGACCCAGTGTCCCCAGAGGCTGCTGAGGTCAGGGGATGAAGCAGTGGGCACCACAGTTACTTTCCTGCAAGTCACCTGCATTCTTGGCCTCAGCCAGACTCTGCAGCATGGGCAATGCTGCCTCACCTGTTTAATGCTGAGGCTTTGATGGTTGGGTTTGGTGACACGTTGATGCCATAAACCCATACTCGCTCTGAATTACACTGTTTAGAAAGATCCAAGCCCAACTATCTTTAAACACGGACTGCATGGGCCTCCTACTTTTGCTGTAGCAGATTGATTATGCGATTTTCATGGCTTCAGTCACCCAAGCAGACTGCCTTCCAGTTACGTGTCAGAAGCCAGAGGCGCGTTCCCCTGGGCTCGGCTGAGGTCTGGCAGGGCTGCTTCATTCTGGAGGCTCCAGGGCCGGGCCCAGGTCTGCCTCTTCCAGCCTCTCGAGGCCGTGGTCAGCTCATGCCTGGTTGCATTGCCTGGGCCTCTCCCAGAGCACACCCGGTGACTGCAACCAGGAAATGTTCTCGGGTTTCCAGCACCTATGTGACTAGACTGGACTCCCTGGAAATCCCGGACAGTCACCTCGCAAGGCCCTCAATTGACACAACTGCAGCTTCCAAGGATGGGGGAGGGGGCGCCCTCTGACCCGCAAAGAGTTGTGTTCACCACACTTGCACAGCACATCCGCTCCCTCCCGAGTTCCCCCAGTCCCATCCCAGCGCAGCATCAGCTCCTGATCTCAGCATGGAAGTCGTCCACAGCAGGTGTGGGGAGCCCCATGTATGATCCGTCCTGGGACAGAATTCCTCCCTCAAGGTGTGTGAGGAGGAGAAATCAGCCCAGTGCAGAAAGGAAGAAATGGGAAAGCTAAGTCAATCCCAAGCACTTCGGAAATCCAGATGAGCAAACTCCCTCGCGTTCCTGGGCCTTAGGGTAGCCCCCGGTGTCAGGGCTGTGCCCTGTGAGCTGTGCACCGCCTTGTACTGACCTGAGAGTGACCCCTGGTGTTGGAGCTATGCCCTGAGCTGTGCACCACCTCATCCTGACCTGAGAGTGACCCCTGGTGTTGGAGCTATGCCCTGAGCTGTGCACTTCATCATGACCTGGGGTGAGCCCTGGTGTTGGAGCTATGCCCTGAGCTGTGCACCACCTCATCCTGACCTGGGGTGAGCCCTGGTGTTGGAACTATGCCCTGAGCTGTGCACTTCATCATGACCTTGGGTGAGCCCTGGTGTTGGAACTATGCCCTGAGCCCTGCACTGTTTCATCCTGACCTGGGTGACCCCTGTGTCCGGGCTGTGCCCTGAGCCCTGCACTGTTTCATCCTGATGGTTACGCGTTATGTGGGTGACCCATAGCTTCATCCCCAGGTTCGGGAGGTGACAAGACAAGTGATTCGAGCCCCCAATGAGGCTGTGACAGACGATGAGCAGCACTCGGATTTCCTGACGGCATGGGGACAGTACATCAGTCACGACATTGCCTTCACACCCCAGAGCCCCAGCAGAGCCTCGTTCTGGGGGGGAGCTGACTGCCAGCTGACGTGTGAGAACCAAAGCCCATGTTTCCCCATACAGGTAATTTTGAAGCCTTCCAAAATGTCATCATGATGTGAACAAATGTCACTTTTCAAATCAAGCAGGAAAATGTAAAACGAAATGCCAGAACCCGCTCCTGTCCCATTCCCAGGGGTTACCAGCTGTTGTGACTTTCCTAGGCTCCCCATCAGAGGTTACCGCAACCATCTCAGACCCTGTGCGTCTCGCACATGAATGCGTGTGTGCGTGTACTGGATGCGTGCTCTCTCCATCTCGCTCGGTGCAGGAACGTGACTGAGCTGTGTCAGCTGCTGCAGCTGATGGACAAGTCAGGGAGCCCGAGGGGCTCTGCTGCATTGCCTTCCCTTGATCACACACCCATTTCCACTGTCACCAGCACAGACAGGGACAGTGCTGGATTTTGTCCCAGGATTTCTCATTACTTCTCCACAGAAAGCAGCCTGAAGCCAGCAAGAACGTCTTTTGATAGAAGCCTGGGCTGTTCAAGCCCACGTCCTCGCTGACGCTCGCTCGGCAGCCCTTGCTGGCGGCTGCTCTGTGCGCGCCGCGCTTGAGTGAACCAGCAACACGACTTTGAGCTTCTCTGGAGGAGGCCTCAACTGGCAAGGCCCTGAATGGACCCAGGATGGACCCAGGACAGGAGACGCTGTGAGAGTCACAGAAGCAGCCCCAACCAGGTCCCATCTCCCCCTGCCCTGGGAAGGGTACCCCTTGTCCCCCTTCCTCTCCATCTGAGGTGGAAACTATTTGCGGTGTCTCTGGCGACCAGAGCCCAGTTCTCACCTAAGTGGCTCCAAACCTGAACTACTACAAACCCACTGAGCTATGCAGCCTGGAGAAGCGGTTTTTACCTCCACCTCTCACACAGATCTTGGGTTCCAGCCTTGCCTTGTAACTCCTTAGCTATGACTACAGGTTTGTTGTCTATACAAAAAAAAAAAAAAAAGAAAGAAAAAAAAGAAAAGAAAAGTCTGTTCCCACCTGCTAATGTAGCACTTGTTCATGGCGATCATTTGCATCAGAAATTAGTGGAAATAACTTGATCACAGAATGTGAATTAAGTAGACTCTAGTACATGGGAAATATAACTGTCAGTAATTCCACTACAAAATGATGTTCTTGGAAATGGTAAAATGGTTCTTGAGTTAGTGAAATTGATATGCCATTTTTCTAGTGGTCATTATTGAGCACATATTACTTTTGAATTTATAGAAAATTAGTTTTTAGATCATTTAAAAAGTAAGGGAGTGGGCCTGTGGTGCAACAGTCTTCCCATTTCGGGCGCCCACATCCCACATCATAGACCTTGGCTTCAATCTCAGCTCCTCCGCTTCCTGTCAAGCTTCCTGCTAACGTCCACCCTGGGAGGCAGCAGGTGATGGCCCAAGTACTTGCTTCTCTGCCCCCAACATAGAAGACCCAATTTGAGTTCTGAGTTCCTGGCTAGATCTCTCTACCTGCCTTTCAGATAGAATGAAAGTAAACAAATTGACACTGAAAAATAAAAGTAAAAGGCATGACTCCATCTAGCGGAGGGATGGTCGTGTGCCAGGAATGAGAACAGCAGAGCAGGCCTGCCCTTCTAGGACTTCCTCTGGGACCTGTGCATCCTGGGAATTTGCCCCCTGGCTTGTACATAAGTGTTCTGTCAGCTATCCGACTCCTCTGCTCTCCAGGGTAGGGTTTTGTGTCAAATGATTTAGCTGAAGGTCACTCCAGTGAGATGAAAAGCATGAGAACCCCTGGAACCAACCCCTCGAGCCCACCAGTCGGTTCATCCCCCGTTAGTGTTGGAAATGCTGGGTGGCCTGGCTCTGGCAGACCGAGTGTGGCCTCTGAGTATTTGCAGAGGAATGTGAGGCTGGAAGGTTGGCGGTGAGCTTGGAAGCAGCTGGGATTTCTGAATCCCAAATAAAAACAAAATGATCCAGTTTCTCAGCCCCATGTTTGCTCACCATTCCTAAGGCAAACATGCTTCCAGCATCTGCCTGAGACTATAAAGCAAAGTGTTTTAAGTACCTGTGCACGGACTCACACTGCTAAGGCACCTCTGCACCTCCCTGGTCTTAGGGGTCCCCCTCCCCACATGTGACCTCGGCCTGCAGGGCAGCGGGAGACCAAGGACTGCAGAAAACACCTGCTTGTGAATGGGCTCCAGGCACTGATAACTGAAGGTCTGCTTTAGAAAGCTTAATTAGATGCAGCTATCACCGTCTCTGCTAAGGAATTCATCACTTAGCTGCTTCAGCTACCCCTGCAGGCACTGTATGGCTTGAGTCCGGTTTTGCTGCTGATTTCTGCTGAGCAGTGAGCTGGTATACGGGTACCAGTGCTCCAGCCAGTGTCCGTCATGGGAGGGCGGTCCCCCTCTGTCTCTGCCCTCTCTGTCTTCACTCTCACGGCACTGTCTCTCCCTGGCTCTCTGTGCTCATTGCTTGGGGCCATCAGCACCACGGCGCCGTTTCCCCAAGGGCATTGGTGCCTTTGCTGCCAGGCCTTGCACTCGGCCCTCACTGAGCCCTCTCCTCTGTGTGTCCCCTCCCTCTGGCCGTGTGTGCTTCCTTGGGGCTGTTATTTCCTTGGTTCTCTGCATCGCTCACCTGTGCTACAGGCAGCAGCAGGAGAATCGCATGCATAGTTAAACTCTGCATCGTTTCTTGTGCCTGTGTTGCTCCGTAAAGTTTCTCTGATGCACCCACGCTTTGCCATGGTGCATGGGGCTGGCCTGTCCTTGTCATGTCCCTCCCACCCATTGGCCAGTCTGAACTCCAACCTTCTATTTACCTCTTTTTGCATTTTTCTTTTTAAAATAGTTACCCATTTTTAGTAATAACCGTATGCATCACTCGCAGATACATGAGCATTGTAAAAATTCGAATATTACTATAAGCTGAAGTCGCTGCTGTCTTTCACTCTCAGTTCAATTCTGCTCTCTGGAATTGATTATGCACTCAGTTTGGTTTGCTATTATTATCCACAAGGCGCCAATCAATCAACCAGTAGATGGATACAAGATAAAAGTAGAGATGTGTCCTGTGCACGCGGCCATTTGTTTCTGGGTTTCTAACAAGTGGAACTAGAAGACAGGGCTATGTGCATGCTTTAATTGTAATGAATACTCGCAAAGTGCCCAAGAACAGTGGGATCGTAAGTTGTGTTTTCTAATTGGTTATTTCTCAGCAGCCATGAATAACTTGACGCGTTGAGGAGCAGAGAAAGGAGCAGTGTGCACCACACGTCACTGCTGAATGACAGCCGCCCTCTGGTCCCACCTTTGTTCCCTTCAGTTCGGTTTCCATAGCTGGACACACAGAGTCTCTGCGCAGTCTCAGCATCAGTGCTTAGCCGTACACAACTGCTCGCCTTGTAATTTTGCTGGTGGTGCAGTTGTTTTCGTCGGGTTCTCAATTTTGATGTTTCAGTGAGTCAGCCTGTGCCCTCTGTGCCACGTGAGTTGTCTTACTAAGCAGTGCTTCCCGACCTGAAGGTGTGAATGCACGGTATGGTTTCCTTTGAATATTTTCCAGATGGGGGTTTTATAGAAAACTTTATTAGGGATTTACTTTGACCAACAGTGAGAGGTCGGGATCTACTAGGGTGCTTTTCTAAGTGGTGATCACTTTGAGCAGGTTCCCTTTGCCACAGATTCTGACGCAGTCCTCTCAGACGCCCACCTGCCCCCCGCTCAGTCCTTGCACCACGGCCTCCCGACGGACACCCCATCACAGCCATGTCCTCCATGCTGTCTTCCGTCTTAGGAACCCATCTTGACTCTTCGCTCCTCCACGGAGCTGCAGCCCGGCCCTGTCCAGCTGGGGCAGTTCTGTTGAGAGGCTCACCAGGATCTGCGTTTCCGCACGCGGGTCTGTGAGCCTCAGGCCTTACGAACTGACCTGTCCTCTTCAGTCACCGGCTCACTTCCCCCTGGCGTTTTGTGTACGCTCCTAGAGTTTGATGGTTAGTCTGTTAGTGTGTTGCATCAACGCTGACAGATCATGATTGCTTTTCTGCCATAGTGAATAAAACCCGGCTGAAGTGTATCTGTCATCGCTCAGCCCCCACGTCTGCAGAGACACATTGATCCTTTTGAATGCTGTCTTGTGCCTGGGTTTGCCTCCTGGCTGCACTTCATCGATCTCTATAAAGATTTCAATTTATTTTAAAATGTGTCTTTGATCAGTGGTTATCCAGGAGAATTTTATGGCCAGCTTATTATTTGTGCTCTCTAACTTAACCCCATTCTTTCTTTTCTGATCTTGGGTGAAGGGTGAAGACTGGCGTGTCCGTTGCTGGGGTCCTCTGAGCTTTTCCATTCTTTTGCTTTATTTTAGCTGAGGAGACTCTGGGCTCCTGACTGTGGTTTCCTGGTGGCCCTAGCAGTCCAAGCCCTCCTGCTCTGTGCTCCAGCCTGGGCCCAGCTTCCTGAGGGGTCTCAGTGGACACCCCTTCCTTGTGGGCTGGACCTGGGCTCACCCAGCCTGCTCCTTTTCCCCAGGGTGACTCCCTCTGTGGCCTTGTCATGTGCGTGAATTCAAGTGCCGCAGGTATAGAAGGTCCTCTGTGAACTGCCCCTGGCCCTCAGGTCCGTGCCCACCTGAGTGGCCCCAGGTCCTCTCTCTTCCTCATTCCTCACCAGGCAGGGCTGTGTACTCTGGGGTTTTCATAAGAGGCCTCCCTCCGGAACCTGTCCATCCCCTGTGCCCTGCCTCTGTGGGCAGGTGGTCTGACCTCTGGGCCTCAGACCCAAGGCAGGAGGATACCCGTGAGGATCCCACTTCCTGGAGCTGGGAAAGGCCCAGCGTCCCAGAGCAGGGCTGACCCGGGCACATCCACAGTGGGGCAGAGCTGCGCACTCTGCATGGCCCCGGCCTGACTGCCCAGGAAAGCTGTGAAGGTGCTGGGAGAGTGCAGGGTCTCGGTGTTGCCCACAGACGCAGCTGTCAGACCACAGGCAGAGCTGGAACCAGACTCAGCGGCCCTGCCCCCCCAGCCAGCGACCCCCTGTGACTCTGCCCCATGCCCTTAACGGAAGCCCAGGTAACAGGGCAGAAGAGGTCAGCAGGACCCCAGGGGCAGGAGCAGGACACTGATCAGGGACACCCTCTCCTCTGGTAAGGGCTCCATCCCACCAGCTCTGCCTCTCCCAGGAAGGGCCTGTGGGCTGACCCCACAGGGAGAGCACAGGAAACCCTGGCACTGATGGTCGTCCCTGCCTAGGGCTCCTCGTGTCTCTAAGGGGGTGCCCGAGGTGACCTCCACTCTCCCCTCTGCCCTGCAGCTCCCTGGGAACGCCTCGCCCACCGCCTGTCTGCCCTTCTACCGCTCCTCTCCCGCCTGCGGCACTGGGGACCAGGGTGCGCTCTTTGGCAACCTGTCCCAGGCAAACCCGCGGCAGCAGATGAACGGGCTGACTTCCTTCCTCGACGCCTCCACCGTGTACGGCAGCTCCCCCGCCTCCGAGAAGCAGCTGCGCAACTGGACCAGCGCCGAGGGGCTGCTCCGCGTCAACACCCGCCACCGGGACGCCGGCCGCGCCTACTTGCCCTTTGTACAGCACGTGCCCGCCGCCTGCGCGCCAGAGCCTGGAGCCCCGGGAAAGCCCCACGCCCCTTGCTTCCTGGCTGGGGATGGCCGTGCCAGCGAGGTCCCCTCCCTGACAGCCGTGCACACGCTGTGGGTGCGCGAGCACAACCGCCTGGCTGCCAAGTTCAAGGCCCTCAACCCGCACTGGAGTGCGGACACCACATACCAGGAGGCGCGCAAGGTGGTGGGCGCCCTGCACCAGGTGAGTGAGCAGTCACCGTGGGCACCCTGCAGGGTGGGTCGAGGCCTTGGGCGCCCTGTTTGGAAGAGTGCAGAATCCAGCTACCGGTGGCTACACAGGCAGTTATGGATGCCCCGTAGAGGTGGGCACAGAATCCAGGGTGCCCTGCAGCAGGTGCAGGCAAGGTCATCGTGGGCACCTTGCCCAAGGACGTGGGGCTAACTCAGGAGCTGCAGGCTTCCCTCCACACACCCCCCACCGCAGTTGTGATGATCGCAATGCCAGTCCCACCCTAGTGACAGGCTCAGCCCACCCAGGACTTCCACACTTTGCAGATTTTAGCCCATTGAACAGCCCTCATAAGAACCCTTCAGGTGGTGGACACCAATGATGCTGGTGTTTTTCTGTTTTGCAAACAGTGGAGTAAATAAAGGACTCCATGTTCCTGGGTGAGATTTCTGAAACAGCAAGTTAAACTAAGCAGCCGTGTTAATTCTTCTCTTCATGTAGTGATTGTTTTTAACACTGAATCTGACTGTCTCGAATGGAGACCGTTTGTGTACTCACGGTAATGTGAGAGTGACTTGCACAGGTAAAACACCGTGGCTGAATCTGCTGTCTTGCTGGGCGATGTAAGACGAGTGCAGAACCTTGTGTTAGTAGTTCCCACCCGTGTGTCTCCATCGCTCCAGGCCCTGGGTGGGCAACCCCATTTTACGGAGAAGCAAAGTGAGTCTTGTCCAAGCATGCATGACTGCTGCAGGTGAGAGTCCAGGCACCCAGCCTGGAAGCCCCCACGGCCCAGGCAGTGACCCCTTGGTTGCTGAGTGGTGAGGGGGCCTGAGCCTCGGGGACAGGCAGCAGCAGGGAGTGAGTCTGTCTTTATCGACCACATAGGACCGTGTGAGTGTTCAGTGCCTGTAAGCTACAGCCAAGGCTGGTTAGGCATGTGTGTCTATGTGCATGTCAAGTTAGGCATGCGTGTGCATGTATGTGTGTCTATGTGCATGTCAGGTTAGGCATGCGTGTGCATGTATGTGTGTCTGCATGTTAGGTTAGGCATGTGCGTGCATGAATGTGTGTGTGCAGGATATGTTAGGCATATGTGTGCATGAATGTGTGTGTGCATGTCAGGTTAGTCATGTGTGTGCATGAATGTGCATGTCAGGCGTGCATGTGCATGTATGTGTGTCTGTGTGCAGGGTATGTTAGGCATGTGTGTGCATGTGTGTCTGTGTGCAGGGTATGTTAGGCATGTGTGTGCATGTATGTGTGTCTACATGCGTGTCAGGTTAGGCATGCATGTGCATGTATGTGTGCCTGTGTATGTAAGGTACTGGAGTCAGTAATAAAGCAGGAACAGGATACACAGAGCCTGACTTGAAGCTTACACAGTGGAATTGAGAATAAGCAAGTGACTGACAAGACAGGTGTACAAAACTAGATTGTTAGAATGTTCAAAACACCCACAATGGGTGTTTGAGGGGAGCAGTGAAGCCAGTGTAGACCGTGTTGCTGTAGGACTGCATCTGTGGCCATGCTGCTGTCGCAGCTGCTCAGACGCCACCTGACATCCAGCGTGGAATGGGAGATGAGGCGGTCACAGGTGAGCAGAGTGGAGCAGGGCTGATAACTTTACGACACCTCAGGAGCTGGTCTGTTCCGTCATCTTTGTTCTGGGTCCTCCTCTCTGCACAGAAGTTCCACCATGACGGACTGTCCTCTGGGCGTTGAGTTCTTTTTCCCGACACCTGCAGTATGCCTGGTCCAGAGCAGGTGCTTGACAATATGAGCTGAAATTATGAAGGAGGGGCAGAAGCAGGGACCCCCCTCCGCTGTGAAATCCCATGCACTCAGACACAGCCAAGGCCACCACCGCCCACGCTGTCTCTGTCTCTCACAGAACCAGCAGAGAGCTGGGAGCACAATTCAGAAGGGGGAGAGGAAGAAGAAACCCAGGAGCTTCGTCCTGGCATGGATGCTAATCCCGGGGAGCCGTGCACACCACACACTTTAATTTGGGTGTCATTTTGTTACGGAGATGGGGATCCCCAAATTATATTCTGGAGACTGACGGCCCTGGCTGGGCCAGAGTCAGTCCAGGTTCTTCTCTTCCCTTCTGCGAGAATACAAGTGGGAGACGCAGATGGATGTGAACCATGGAGCAGGCTTTACCGAAAGGTAAAGGGATGGTGCACACTGCAGTGTGCGTGCTGGCAACCTCATGCCAGAGAGCTGCCCTCAGCCAGGGCTGGGAGAACTCAGGCCAGGGCCTGACCCCAGATCCCGAGGAGGCAGGGCGTGGGTGGGGCTGCAGCGCATGTGCTGGTCTCCAGAAAGGTGTCCTGCGTCTGGGGCATGATGGAGAGTGAGGCCCAGCTGTAGGATGAGCAGTGGGTGTGCCCGGCCTTGGCTGGAAGGTGGCGGATCTGGGCAGGGCTCATGGCCTGGGTGTTGGCCAGACTCGGCTCCTCATCCCTCCCTGACCCCCTGCCTGGCCTACGTTGATTTGCTTTAAACTGGAGGATGGAAATCCACTGATGTATGTAGACCAGAACTGCGATCTATGTAAAACTGCTGTCTGTTACGTGTGTAAAGCCATGGGTATCTTTTGTTCTCACCAAAACCCTGGAATGAGGCTTTTCCCTATGAGAGCACAGATTCAGCAGACTCCCCAGAGTCAGGCAGCTGCACGCGGGGGCGGGGTAGGAGCTCAAGTTGTCCGGCTCCTGGGCTCCAGGGCCAGCGTCCTTGAGGGGAGCTGGTTTCAGATGTGTGTCTTGTGTTCAGGGTCAAGGGACTGTGCGGTACAGCGGGAGAGGAGGGGAGAGGTGGCTTGTGACGGGAATGTCTTCTAGGGGACAGTGGCGGGCACCCCTGTCCTGCCTGTGTGCAGGGCAGCAGGTTCTGTGTGACCCCCGGAGGGTGCCTGGGGACGTCTGTGACACGCCTCACCCAATCCTACAAGCAGGAGCAAAGGCCGTTAGCACTTAGGCTGGCGCGCCACCTGCCCCTGTCTACCTGCACGCCCCCACCCGTGACAATCCCTCCCCAGGGGTGCTAGGAAGGTGCCGCTCGTCCTGCCACTCTGACCGTCGCCCTCACTGGCACTGGGGCCACCGGGGCCTGCTCAGCAGCTCACCTGCTTCCCTCTCCTTGCAGATCATCACCCTGCGGGATTACGTCCCCAGGATCCTGGGACCCCAGGCCTTCCAGCAGCACGTGGGGCCCTACAGAGGCTATGACCCCACCGTGAACCCCACCGTGTCCAATGTCTTCTCCACGGCTGCCTTCCGCTTCGGCCATTCCACAGTGCACCCGCGAGTGCGGCGGCTGGACGCCCACTTCCAGGAGCCCCCGGGCCTCCCCAGGCTGCAGCTGCGTGACGTGTTCTTCAGCCCCTGGAGGCTCATCAAGGAAGGTGCGTGTCCGTCCACCGGGCGCTCGCCACCTCCATCAACCACCGCCCCGCTGTCCATGTGGCTGCTGCTGACCAAGCTTCCAGTGTTCAACAGGGGTGGGAACCGTGTGTCTGCCCAGCCCATTTGGATATTTATAATGTCACGGGTCATATAAAATCATCAACTTAATTAACCTGCTATAGATGTGTTGAATTCTGAGTCCTGCCTGCAGCTGCCTTGGCAGGACCAGACCAAAAGATTTCACGGGCCTCAGGCAAAATAAATTTGCCTTCTGTCACGTTTCTGATCCACAGGATGACCCATTCAGGGGCAGCTAACTCTCTGCTCGTGGTTTCAGAAAACATAGAGGGAGAAATCTGCCTTTATATGTCCTGTTGTAGCTGGTGCCGTTGGTTCTTCATGGCGAAGCACTGACGCGTCCTGTGGTTATGATTGGCACCATGAGCTCAGGACGTGTGGACCTGGGTTGCCTCTGGGAGAGACGTTGAGAAGAGAATCCGAATCCCCTGGGCAGCCGCCTCCTTCCTTCTGGCCCTTTCCCAGTGTTCACATCTGTCTGAAAGCCCCAGCACCATCTTACATCTTAGGCAAGCTGCTTCCACACCAGCAGAAACACATCCTGGGCCCTGAGTTGTACGTTCAGGGACACCCTGAAGTCAAACTGACCCCAAACAGATCTGACTGCACTCAAGTGTGGGTGCCCGCGCCTCTGGGTCTGTTCGGTGAAGGTGACCCCAGGGCCTTTGGAGGGGGTGGGCATGGCCACCTGGGTCCAGACAGCCCTCGGACCCAGTCTGCCTTTCCCGTTCCAGACATTGCAAGTTCTTTGTGATGTTTCTGCCACCAAAAACAAAACCTAAAACTTGAACGACTGGCGGGCCCCGGCTCTGGCCCCTTCGGTTGTAAAGGCCCGGGGCCTGCCCCACGTGGCTAGTCCAGTGCGGGCAGGGTCCTCAGCTTGAGGGGAGCACTCTGGAGTCCGCTCTGGCATTCATGAGCTTACACATGGGATTTTGCTGAGAACGGATGCGCTCTCACAGAGATGTCGCACTGTGCACTAGCACTGAGCAGCGAGTCTCAGCAACTTGGGTGCTGTCTTCCAGGTGGGGTGGACCCACTGGTCAGAGGCCTTCTTGCGAGACCCGCCAAACTGCAGGCGCACGACCAGCTGATGAACGAGGAGCTGACGGAAAGGCTCTTCGTGCTGTCGAACTCGGGCACCTTGGATCTGGCGTCGCTGAACCTGCAGAGGGGCCGGGACCACGGGCTGCCAGGTCTGCTGGCCTGTGCGCGTGCCGCGAGGGTGGCCATTCTTGGGGAAACTGGTTCAGGTGAAGATGTACCTGCAAATCTGTTCCAGCGGCTGAGCAGTGGGCCACTGGGCACTCCTGTTCCTCAGCCAGAGGTTCCGTCCAGCTTTTCTTAGACAATGGGAATGGTCCGGGAGCCCCAGGGACGCATGAGCGAGGCATTTCCGGCCCCAGACAGGGAGACAGAATTTCTGCGCAGATCCTGGCAAGGCTGTGTCTGGTTTCTCAGGAAGCCCTGGAGGTGGTCAGACCCCCACCCCTGTCCCCTTCTTCCCTTCCCCCTGTCCTGGGGCCAGCAGCATCTGGTGTTGCCCTTGGCACTGCCACACCTGTAGGTGGAAGCCCCTACTCAGCTGCCTCCATCACCTCTGCGCCCCGCCCAGGTGGATTGGAAGGTGCGTGCTTTTCCTCTCATCCTGTCCAAACCCAGGATTCTGCGAGCTGCCCCCTTTCTCTCTGAGTCCCTCACCACCTGAGAGACCCGGCGCAGTCCTCCCCACATGGCTGTGCCTGTGCCTGTGTTTGAGTGCCGGGCTCCAGAGCCCACGGCTCATGAGGCCCTAGAAGTAAGACAGGCCCAGACAAGCAGGGGGGGCAGTGGAGGACCCTGGTGCGTGCTCCCGTCAGACGGCGGTGCCACAGCAGGCAGCTGCTGGAGGCTCTGGTCTGGCCTGGCGGAGTGGGGAGGAGAGCATGTGGGGCAGAGAGGCGCTGAGCTGAGGGGGAGGGGAAGTGCCTGGCCAGGGAGGCAGGACGAGCATGGCCGGGGGCTCTGGAGAGGGTGATGAGGAGCTGGGCTCCCGGGGCAGAACAGGCTCCACCTCAGGCACTGACCAGGTCCCCTGAGCGCTGGTGAGAGGTGACGGTCAGAGGGAGGATGCCTGTGGGCCCTGTGCGAGAGGGGCTGGCGGCGTCTCTCTGGGGAGTTGCTGTCCAGGGTCTGTGTGGGGGCAGAGCTGAGCGTCGCTGGGTGAGAGTAGCCCCCATGGACGTTCTGGGGGGGTCGCGTGACCCCCTCCAGTGCGCGTCCTGAGCTGCATGCTGGAATATTCCAGGATGCTGAGCTCCGGGCTGGGCTGCGGCGGGAGGGGCGGCAGCAGCTGCACACCAAGATGGCTCACCCCAGCCCCCTGCCCAGGTTACAACGCGTGGAGGGTGTTCTGTGGCCTGCCGCGCCTGGAGACCCCCGCCCACCTCAGCGAGGTCCTGGCCGACCGCAGCATTGTCCGTAGGCTGATGGATCTGTACGGACATCCCGACAACATCGACATCTGGCTGGGCGGCCTGGCCGAGAAGCTGCTCCCGGGGGCACGCACGGGGCCTCTGTTCGCGTGCATCATCGGCAGGCAGATGAAGGCCCTGAGGGACGGGGACAGGTAGGTGTCCATGGTGGTCACGCTGCCTCCTGTGGCTTCCAGAGACCCTGGCGGGATACCTCCCTCAGCCACAGCTTCCTCTGCTGCAGGATAGGGTGGGTGCAGAAGGGGGTGCAGACACAGCACAAGGCCCCCCAGAAGCCAGCAGGTGTGGAGGGCTGCGGGCAGGGAAGTGGCACTGTGTCCCTCGCCATGGAGGCCACGCCCCTGCCGAGGCTCAGGTTGCAAAGGCCAGGCTTGGGTGCCCACAAGCCCTCCTCCTCATCCCCCTGCCCCCTTTCTCCTCTCTCCCCCTCCTCCCTCCCTCCCCTTCCCTTCCCTTCTGTCTGTTCCTCCACCTCCCTCCTCCTTCCCCTCCTCCCCCTCCTCCCTGGCTCTCCCCACCTTCCTCCTCTTCCCCTCCTGCTCCCCCTTCCTCGCCCCTCTCCTCCCTCCTCCCCCTCCCTCTCTGGGCACCTGGTCCTGCCCTGGTCCAGACACTGTGTTCTCCTTGCTGGGCCTGCAGACTGTGATGTTGGGGTGCCTGGTGTGTGAGTGAACTGGAGAGACTCCCGCTCACCCACACTTCCCACTCTCTCCTCCGAGGTTCTGGTGGGAGCACGGGCCAGTCTTCACTGAGGCCCAGCGGCTGGAACTGGAGAAGCACTCCTTGTCCCGGGTGGTCTGTGACAACACGGGCCTCACCAGGGTGCCGGGCGATGCCTTCCAAGGTGGACAGTTCCCTCGAGACTTTGAGTCCTGTGAGGACATCCCTGGCATGAGCCTGGACGCGTGGCGGGAGACCCTCCCTCAAGGTGATTTTAAGCCCCTTTTGCGTCACCACACAGAGCACAGCCTGTAGCAGAGGAGGGCGACTTCCCGGAGAGCCGCGTCTGACCCAGGCTGGTGGAGCAAACAGCGTCATCACCGCTGCCAGCCCCACGCAGTGGCTGTGTCCTCCACTGAGGAAGTCCGAGTCCACCAGCCTGAGCACCCTGGTCCCAGGGGACAGATGGCCTTGCCGAGCAGTGCCATGGAGAAAGGGCTCAGGGAGTCGTTGGGGTGCAGTACCCCAGCACTGGCCTGCAGGGTCTGTGCTGGCTCGGTAGGGCCCCCAGGATCACCCACCAAGCTGCTCCGTTCCTGTGGGCACATTGCCCCAGTTGAAAGCAGCAGGTGAGATCACATAACTTTTATTTTTTAAAGATTTATCATTTGTTTGAAAGGCAGAACTGGAGATCTTCCATCCGCTGGTTCACTCCCCAGATAGTCGAAACAGCCAGGGCTGCACCAGGGCAAAGCCAGGGATCTGGAACTCTGGGTCTCCCGTGTGGATGGCAGAGGCCCATGCACTTGGCCCATCTCTGCTGCTTTCCCAGGTGCATCAGCAGAGAGCTGGAGCAGACGCAGAGCAGCTGGGACTCAAACCAGTGTTCTTGTGGGATGCCAGTGCTGTAGGTGGGGGCTGGATGTCACACATTTCTAGGAGCAAATCTTGGTCAGTGTAGGTCAGCATTGGCCACATAGAAAAGATGCACGAGGACCAGGAGCCGGGGTTTTCAGGGTTTAGTTCAGAGCAACTGGTCGCCTCAGCTTCTGTTCTGCAGGTGCCGTGAGCACAAGCAGAGCCCGTGGTTCAGAGGTCCCCGGCATCAGGCACTTGGTCAGGTCTCGTGGACACCACCAGCTCCCCAGAGGTTGACCAGCTGCCGGCAGCAGCTGAAGATTCGGTCACTGGTGCCTTCCATACAGCGGGCCCTTGTCTGGGAGGTGGGCCCTGCTGGGGAGTGAACACACCCCACACAGGCGCCTCCATCGCCCTCTGTCTGGGGGGGAGGGCAGATGACCGGCACATCCCCCTCAGAAGGCCCTGGCCCCGGCGTGGCCCGGGGGCTGGGAGCTAAGGGAATGGTGGGCGTGGGTGCAGCCCCAAGCAGGAGACTTTTCTACGTTGTACAGACAGGTGTGGCCTCCCAGACCCGGTGGATGGCGGGGACTTTGTGCTCTGTGAAGAGGCGGGGAGGCGCAGGCTGGTGTTCTCCTGTCGTCATGGATACGAGCTCCAAGGGCCAGAGCAAGTCACCTGCACCCCGGAGGGCTGGGACTCCCGGCCCCCTGCTTGTAAAGGTCAGTCATTTAGCAGGCTGGGGCGGGGCGTGCGGGGGCGGGGTGAGAACCAGAGCCTGCGTTTCCACGTGTCGGCAGCATGGGCCAGGAAGCTGTCCACCAGACAGTGCCGTGGGCGCATCTGTGCTCAGGTAGCAGAGCGTGACAGCAGTCACCTGAGGAGCATGGCACCAGGCAGGGCCTTGGGAGAGGCTCAGGGAGAGACGGATCTGCAAAGCTGACTTCGGGAATGAAATGTCGGGAGCATGCCCTCTGAGAGTCCACGTGGTGAGCCCCCAGCCGTCGGGGACCAGTGACTTCTGTCTGCTCCCTCAGGGACCGCTGGGCCCAATTCCCAAGCCTCCTCACACCCAGGGGTGCCCAGGAACTGCCCGCGCCATTCCTGGAGAGCACGTGGGGGACGGCCATAGTTAGGCCACACTGTGAAACTCCCCAGCCACTCTACTGGCTTCTCCCTGTGACCCCATGAATGGGCATCACCCCCAGGGCACCTGGATGGCAAATGGGTCAGTTGGCAGAATGTGGGTCCTTGGGTGGCCATGCAGGGAGGCCAGCAGAACATCCCCATGAGACTGCTCTGGCCACAGAGTGACCCGGTGGCCCAGGGCCAGGTCTCCCCTAACCAACCCCGACTCACACCCCTGCAAGGCCCTGGGGCAGGGCCTGGAGAGGCTCCCCCACCAAGGCCATCTCCCAGGAGGGAGGGGGATGGCATCAGAATTGCACTGAGTGAGCCGCGCGCAGCACAGGGAAGAGTCCGGCGGAAATGCGAGCAGTCCCTGGGTTCAGGTTTTGGCGTTTGGCTGAGGAAGGAGGGTGTTCTGTGGGTGGTGAAGATGGTTGTCCGGCTGCTGAATGCAACGCAGTGCCGTGGTGAGGCTCTGGGTTCAACTGCAGATCCTTGGTGCAGTGCCACAGCTGCATGGCCAGGAGAGTGGTGGAGGGGCTGTGGGCCCCATGGACCTGGAGGACTGGGCTCAGGTTGAGAGCTGACTGCTGTCCCCACAGCTGTCTCAGGTTCACATGGAGAGACAGGGCCCCGCGGCTGGAGAAGGCAGGCTGGGAGCTGACCCAGCGCGCACGGATCAGGGCAAGGAGGCTACTGCCAGTGGCGCTAGCCTGGCCCCTGGCCCAGGAAACCTTCCTCTGGACTTAAAATGGTTCTGCACTCCCAGACTCCCGCCAGCAGGAGTGGGGCTGTGCTGGTCTGGCTTAGGCTGCTCCCTGGAGCCCCGCGGCTGTGCCTCCTGCGGACCCTGGGTGCGTTTGCCATTACCGTGATCTGCTGCGTCCTCACTCCTGACAGCCACCACCCCCTTCCACCAGGGCAGCAGGGCTGCTCCAGCCGTTGGCTCTGTCTCCCCAGAATCTCCTGGTTTCTGTGAGCCTGTGTGCTCCGTGTGAGAGGAGGATGAGCCTAAGCTTCAGCTCTCGGGCTGTGCGTTCCACCCGTGAACAGCAGTGCAGCCTGAGACTCTGAGCTCCATATGTGTGGTGCACCATGGTGCAGGGTGAGCGGGCGTGAGGGAGGCGAGTGGGACTCGGGACCACAGCCCACCCAGTACAAACACGGGTCTCAGAGCATTGGCACAATCAGAAGCCATTTAGAGTGTTTACTTCTGCGGGTCGTATTTATAAACATAGAACTTCTGAATGTCGGTTACATCCCCAGTGAGAAGCAGAAAGGGAGGGCATTACTGTTTACTCAACTCTGTCCTTTTCATTTATTGCTTTTCTCATTAAAGCATCATCTTAACTTAGAAAATGCTCCATAGGAGAAGTCATGATAAGACTTAAATGCATTCATTTATGAACACAAATTTTTTTAAGATTTTATTTATTGTTAATTTGAGAGGTAGAGTTACAGATAGGGAGAGGGAGAGACAGAAAGAGAGAGGTCTTTCTTCTATTGGTTCACTCCCCAGATGGCCGCAACGGCTGGAGCTGCGCCAGGAGCCAGGCGCGTCTTCCCAGTCTCCCGTGTGGGTGCAGGGCCCCAAGCACTTGGGCCATCTTCTACTGCTTTCTTAGGCCATGGCAGAGAGCTGGATTGGAAGAGGAGCAGCTGGGACTAGAACCAGTGCCCGTATGGGGTGCCGGCACCACAGGTGGAGGATTAACCTGCACAACGGCGCAGACCCCCACAAATATTTTCACCACGTCTTTTCCCTATGCTAGAAGTTTCTCAGTGAAGAATTATGAGAAAAAAAAAAACAGTAAGCACACAAGAAAGAGAACTCTTCATTAAGAACATCAGTGTTTAGCTGGTCAACAAAATCTGCCTTTTCCGCATCGATGGCTGCAGCAGGGAAGGCTCTGGGTTTTCCTGAGCATTTAATGAGGATATCACCTCTCACCGTTCAAATCCGAGTTCCTCCCTGAAACCCAGATCTGATAGAAGGAAAAAAAAGAAACCTTCACAAGTTAGCATAGTCGTCCCCATTTGGGGGCTGTAAGGTTGTACTTTCCAGGTGGATAACACCTTTGAGTCTGTGGCCTTCTACACCACGTACCGTCGAGATGAAGCAATGCGTGATGCGTGCATGGACACGAGGTTCTTGTGTCTGCTTCTTGGTTTGCAGCCAGCACAGGTGTGCTCAGAGCAGTGGAAGCCCGTGCTGGCTCGCTGCCTGGGTGGGGCGTTGGGATGCACACAGCAGCAAACAAGGGAACCTGGAGACCGGTGAGGCCTGGCCTCTGTTAGGCTGGATCTGGAGTCTGGGACGTTGGGATTCCCCTTCTCTTCGTCCAGCCAAGGGGGAGTTGTCACCTGGCCCTCAGCGGTGGTCCTCAGATGGGGAGAAGTGGGACGTGCAGGTTCCTGGCTGGGGCGTCCTCAGGATACACCGATCACATGGAGAGTGCTGGGGGTCACACTGTGCCCCCCAAAACACGCGTTCAGGTCCTATCCCCTGGTTCCTCAGGGTGCAGCCTCACCTGGGATCATGTGGGTCGGAAGATGCCGTTGAAGTAAGATGGGTCGGGGGTTGGGCCCTAACGAAGGCCTGTCCTCCTAGGAGAAGCCCACAGGGTGCACGCTGGGGTAATGAGGCGATGCACGCTGAGGGCCAGCACAGCTGCTGGAAGCTGGGGGAGGCGGCAAGGGGAGTGCGTGCAACCTGCTGGCACCGCTGGCCTGCAGGTGAGGGGACAATTCCAGTCCCCAAGCATTGTGGGAGCTGCAGGCCGCGTCTGGGCGGCAGCATCGAGGCGGCACTGGGGAGCAGAGCTGTACTGACTGGAGAGAGCTGGCCTGGAGGTGCTGCCTTGGACATGTGAAATGGAGCCCGCATGGTGCCTCCAGGACCAGGACAGCCGCTCCTCTCTGCTGACCTCATCCCCCATCCCAGGTGAGGAGAGAAAGTGGACCTGCCACACCATGGGTGCCATCCTGACAGCCACAGCAAAAGGGACACCCCTCCCTGTGGGCCCCAGATGCCTCCCCACAGCACCCGTGCTTGGGGCCTGCGTGGAATGTGGTGAACAGTACACAGACATCCTCAGCAATAAAAGACATGGCTCAGACAGGCTCCGTCCCCTCAGCCCCACTGCTGTTCTGGTGCCCTTGTCATCACCAGTCTCGGGAGCCCACAGCTCCCCTCACCCACGGGATCTTCTGTCTGGCCAGGCCCCACAGGTTGCACAGTGCTGCCCATCAGCAAAGTGAGGAAGGCAGGCTCGCGGCAGACCTGCGGCCCTGGCCTGTGTGTGAGAAGCTGCTGCTGGTCAGCCCAGTGCACGTGGGCAGCACCAGGTGTCCCTCAGCCCAGTGCACGTGGGCAGCACCAGGCGTCCCTCAGCTCCAGTGCACGTGGGCAGCACCAGGTGTCCCTCAGCCCAGTGCACGTGGGCAGCACCAGGTGTCCCTCAGCCCAGTGCACGAGGGCAGCACCAGGTGTCCCTCAGCCCAGTGCACGTGGGCAGCACCAGGCGTCCCTCAGCCCAGTGCACGTGGGCAGCACCAGGCGTCCCTCAGCCCAGTGCACGAGGGCAGCACCAGGTGTCCCTCAGTCCAGTGCATGTGGGCAGCACCAGGCGTCCCTCAGCCCAGTGCACGTGGGCAGCACCAGGTGTCCCTCAGCTCCAGTGCACGTGGGCAGCACCAGGCGTCCCTCAGCTCCAGTGCACGAGGACAGCACTAGGCGTCCCTCAGCCCAGTGCACGAGGACAGCACCAGGCGTCCCTCAGCCCAGTGCACGTGAGCAGCACCAGGTGTCCCTCAGCCCAGTGCACGAGGGCAGCGCCAGGCGTCCCTCAGCCCAGTGCACGTGGGCAGCACCAGGCGTCCCTCAGCCCAGTGCACGTGGGCAGCACCAGGTGTCCCTCAGCCCAGTGCATGTGGGCAGTACCAGGTGTCCCTCAGGTAGGGAGCTCCACGGC